ATACAGGAAAGAATATTGTGGGGGAATGGATTTGGAGTCTTTGGAAATAATGATCATAGATAAATTTGTTTCATTCACATATTTCGAGTTTTTCGTAACATCAAATTATTCGACTGAACGTAAAAACTTATATGTCTGCCTAGAAAACTGCTTGCAGAACGTCACTTGAAAAATAACCGCCATTGCACATTTTGATAAGTGGAGGAGTTAAATTCGACGCAACAACAATTCGACGTAGCAGGAATTTAAAGTAATAACCCTCCGATGTAGCAGAATTTCGAAGGAGGTAAAAGTGTTACTACGTCGAATTGTTGCTGAGTCGAAATATCGTTACGTCAAGTCTGATACTTTATAAACTGTGTGTCTTCGTAACGTCATCCTCAAGGTAGATGATGAATTTCACTGTAACAATAATTCGTTGTGGTTACAATAGATCGCAATGACCCACACCCGAATTTGAAATTCATCCAACTCCTATTCACTCCACCTCCCTATTAGTGACTTTTCAACGAAGAAACTATAGTAACAAAGCCAGAAACACAAACCAAAACACAAAAGAAAAAATCTCATCAAAAAAATATAAAAGACCGAGCACAATAATTCGAAAGGCAGCTTTCACACTCCACTTCACTGTCATTCGCGCAAAACTTCTTCCGTTCCTTTGTTGCCGTGCAGTGATTAAAATCCAAACAGTTTCAACTTTCAACCCGGACAAGTGAATTGAAGAGAACGGCGAATAATGCAGTGCAGAGTCGGACTGGCCATATAGTTGCGTTTGCCGCCGTGCCCTAGCATTACTATCATATAGCTGAAGACTTACATGTAAAATGGTTCTTCATACATAGAGTTTGCAAATCTAGAAAAACAGTTGAGAATCCTCACGTTCCCTGGCGCAGTACGCATTAGGATGAAAGAGGATGGAAAGAACCGCTCCTCAAGAATCATGGTACTGTTTACCGAGCAGGGCAATATCAAAATTCAGAAAGCTCTTCCTACATTTGGCAAGCTAGATTGCCAAATGTAGGAAGATAGAGACCAAAAGACGGGGTTTACTTGCAAAAGGCCCAGTAGTTCTAAATTATTTATGTGCTGTCTAGGACGTTTAGTGTTCAACATTGAAATGCGCAATTCTCCCCCCTCCACGCTTTCTGCCATCTTAAAAAACGACACTTTCTTCATAAATTTACTAATATTTTCTTTCTGGTGCCTTTTAGGTACAAATAAGTTCTTAATGTTGTAGAGAATATAATTTCCTACAATTCATATTCCTACAGTTTGATTCAAAGACTGATTTCAGAGTAGTTTTTTTAAATTAAAATAACGCACTTTGCGGAAATTTGATCAATTGCCAACTTAAAACACTCAACGTCAGTTACAGCCTATTTGAGGCTGAGGATGAAACTGACAAGAATTCAATTATCTACAGGAAAAGTTTGGAGACACTGTTGCGACTCCTCAAAACTTGTATTTCTGGTATGGTGGCAGTAGATTGTAGTCGTTGAACTTCCAACGCCAAAGCAAATTCAAGACCAGTACCACCAAGGTCATTCCCGAACAACCTTCTACCATTTACTCAACAGAATTAGTAAAGACACTGCTCCTCCAAACTTACTATATGGGGGGGGGGCATATGACTATGAAAAGGATGGCACAAATTATCACGCCTTTTTGCAAACTCTACTAGCCAGAATGTTATAATAGGAATCTTTGAAGACTACGCCGGTCTAAAGCCGCTATTCAACGGAAATGAAGATCTCCCGACTTCATTAACTCACTCCTTAAGGAACGCATATACATTTGTTAATTTTCATTCCTTATTTGTTTATAATTTTTTTTGCTGCCTTTTGTTCTCACGCTATTCAAATTAAAGTAACTGCTGTATCGATGAGTTATTTCAAATGGAACATCTTCTCTTACCAATTGGTATTCAAGTGATAATACCTGCCTGAAGAAATTGGCTTTGTATTTGTTCCACAATTTTTCCAAATGAAACTAGTAATTATTTTAATTTTTTTAGATACAGTGTGACGTCACAATAGCAAAAAGAGTAATATTTCGTCATGTTCGATTTTTTGTTCCCTCTTCCCCCGTAGGGTTAGTTCTATAGTTAATTTTTGGACTCGATCGATTCAAAATTTCCAAGACTTCTAAGTTTAGTAACTATCTTCCGAACGCTGGTAAAGCCAGTGCTTTAGTTTACAAATGAATCTAATAATTAACTTTATATGCAGTTTTTATCAATGAGGATTAAATTGATAATGCCTTATGTTTTATCAATGAGGATTAAATTGATAATGCCTTATGTCCTTTACTGTATGTCATTGAGAATTATTGATATGTATATTTCATTATTATCCGATCCATTTCCTGCGGAGGTGAAGTATCTAAAAAATTCACACGGAACGCTCACTTAAAAAGGTTTTAAATAAAATCAGACTGTACCTATGGACATGTCGCAGGATTTGTGAAACATCTTAGGGCTTAGATCCCAAAACAAATCCATTGAATATATGTGATGATTATTATCAGATCAAAAATCATGTATTGCCTGGTGGTCGAACATACAAAATTGTGCATATTTTCAACACTATTGGCTGACACTGAAACTCACAGCATTCTGGAAATAACATTTAAATACGAACTGTCAATGCCTGGTAGAGGGAACTGGATCGTACGGGAGGAAGGCAGACACCTTCAAGTTCTGTTGCAGATGCAGCCGTATTTCAAGCAGAAATGCCATTGATTATGTGAGGAGGAATTTGTGGAAACCACCACCAATAAAGATATCTGAGCACCAAGCGGCTTTGGAAGCATTTGGCTCTCACTGATCAGCGTTCAAGTTCCTGGAGAACTACCGAAAAAGACCTCCACAAAAGAAAGACTCAACAAATTGTCACTGGTCTGAATTTCCAACCCTGGAAGGTAATGAACTTACCGACAATTTACAAGAAAGGGCGCTGCAATCGCATTGATCGGAACAGAACCTGCCATTGCCATCGCTTTCGTCTTCGGCAAACCAATACAAAATACCTGGACTGCATCTTGACCATCATTTGAAGAAACTTTGACTATCGGAAGACAGATGACGAAGTTGGTAATGTTTCTCTTTTATCATTGACTTGAAAGACCACTCTCCAAATGAAGTAGTAGGCTTCATTAAGAAGCTGGATTTATTTGGTTGAGTTCGAAAAGGTGTGAGCCAAGATAAACCATCGCGGGTTGCAATAAACCTTGGCGTGGGTAGACTAGACCCACTCACTTTGAACCCACCAAGCTCACAAACAGCCTCACGGGCCCTTCTGGCACAGTACGAACCTGATGCAGATAACACAAGAGTGTCGAGATTCTCTGTAAAGTCGGTAGATGATTTTATAATTAAAATTAATTCGCACAACTCGAGCTCGGCCGTGTTTTGCGAGGATTAACACAATCTGTATTTCACTCGAATATCCCGTAGTTGATTCGGTGTGCCACAAACTCAAACTATCCTCAATTAATTACAGTTTTAGTTGTTTCATTTCGAACACAAATCCCGCCCTTTGGGACACGGAATTGAAATCGTTTTCATTGGAAATCATTCGACGGATTGCCATCCAATATTCATTTACCAAAATACCAATGATAGCATTTCAGAAATCTTTATAACGAAATGTAATTCAGATCTGCAAGAATGATACTTGTGATGAATTTTGCAAATATATGTAATTCAATATACATCGGTGGCGTATTTAGCGGGGCTGAAAGGGATGCAGTCCTGGGCGACAGTTGTGAGGGAGCGGCAAATCTACCCCCGTTTTTCTTTTTCTACTATAGTTTTTCAGTGAGTACATTACACTGTTGTTTCCTTTAGTGAGGCATGCAGCATGTCACAATAATTACGCCGACTAGGGATTCATTTAGGCGTGTTATCGAATGCATAAATAATTTTTAATTTTATCAACTTGGCTTGGTCTGCATTTTCTACTTTCATATAACAACTATTTGGATAATTGGTTTGTTGAAGTAAAGTAAATTCACAGATCCTATAATACATGTAAGTATAATACATGTAAGTATACATGTTAGACAATATTTTTCAGTTGACAAATTTGAAAATCAGTCAAACTATTCCTATTAGGAATTACTTTTACGCTCAGATATGACCACGGTCATCTCTGGACAAGTGTGGTTCCCAAGTAGCAAAGAAAAGACAATGACAACCCACTGGTTAGGTGTGTTGTAGACTATACCATAGAGGACACGACCCGTTTCAAATGAACCTGACTTAGTCGATACAAGGTATCCATCCATCTCTTGGTATATACCAAGAGATGAATATATACCAAGATATTCGTTTCCAACACAAACTCAAAGTAAACACACGCATGATCAGGGAGTTGACTCGTATCCCAATCTGCAGTATGGCTTTGGTTTTGGTTAAAAAGTGTCCACCTGTGATCAGTTATTACTGGCTTACTACAACCCTCTCCATTTGATGTTCACGTAACTGAAGCGCGTTTCTGTTTTGATGAAGCTTATCTTGAAGTTAAATATAGTGAATGAATAACGTTTTCCTCGTAACTCTATCAGGAGGGATACCAAAACCTGGGCACCTAGAGAGGTTCTCTAGAACCTCTTAGAGAGGTTCTCTTTCGCCACACCGTGTTCCACTGACTGGTTCATCATCTCAATCGAAATAATAGTCATGCTCGAAAATACCATGACCAAAGATCATCTACAAAACCCAGTTTAGGTTCCCTAGCAATCGGACTGTTCTTACACCTGATTTTTTCATGACTTCTCCTCGCGCTTGTGGTTCCTGATATTCTTTTTCACCTTATCCTTCCTTCCACATCTCCCTTATCCGATCTGTCCTCGCCTCTCAACAAGGAAGTCTTTGCAGGGCTGTGATTGTTTTATATGCACCTCTCAATACTCAGATGAATTAAACATTTGATGAATTTATGTCAATAAACTTGATGGATGAGCAAAGAACATTCAATGAGAAAAAAAACACTCACCTGTTGTAGTTCCCATACCGGAACTGCTTGTCCTTCTCCTTGAACAGGGGCATCTTCAGCTCCTCCGCCGGATTCTTGTTCTGCCTCGGTTTCGACCACTTATTCACCGAATTGCTCCTCTTCAGCCACGCGCCGGGTTGCGGCACGACCGGACTCACGATTTTGTCCATCGAATTGTTTTTGAATTTTTTTATGCCGTGTCCGAAGTCATCCGATTTTCGTTTGTTTTTCTCCTTTTTAATAGCCGCCGCCGGACCGGGAGTGGCGTTCAACTCGATGCTAAGGTCGCGGCTAACATTCGGTGCCCGAGGCGCGTTTTCTTCGGGTACGTCGGGAATCTTCGCGGAATCCGTCGACGTTTCGGGCGTTTTCGCCTCAGAGTTCGCGCTCACGTCCGCAATCGACTCCGATGTCGAATCCATCGTCACGGAAATGGTCCTCCTCTTCTTCAAGCGTTTCTTCTTGGCCTACAGAAGTAATAACATGAATTAATCTGAATAACATAAAGAATAAATAGGCATAGACATCTCCCATTGCGAAGCGGTCTTCTATGGAATCGACAGAAGGCTCAAACGAATATCAAAGATAAACGAGGCTCTCAAAGCGATCCGTAGCAAAGCCAAGCTTCAGTTTCGACCGTAGAACGAGTTTTCCGTCCTTCACTGCAGCTTTCACTGCAAGGCACCAATTGAAAGCAGAGCCCAAAAATACTGCTTAATTATTGAGCTCTGGTATCAGCATAAAGTATGTTGAAAAAGACAAGATTTGACACCCGGAGGAGGTTAGGGTACTTCAAAATTTGAAACATTCGAATGTTGAGTTTCATGAGATTCAGATAACTGATCAACACGAAACGTGATTATTCCACACGTATTATGTACATACAAAATATGGAATGAATTCGATATTTCATAGTAGAGTAGCTTGTTAGTTTAAAAACACCACGAATCTACAGAACTTGATATTTCTTTTGAAAAAATATCTGCTATCACAATTGTGACTTAAACTTCCATATAGGTACTGTACTTTTTGTTTACGACTTCATTTCAGCATACTTTGTATTATTCCTGTTATAAATGTTGTTGAATTAACGTTATCATTATTATTTCTGCTTTGATAATTATTCATTTCAAATAATGGTGGACGAGCGGGTTTGATGTCGTCGAGTAGAACTACATTTTTATCAAGACTCGTTGCTCCGATCGACTTTCCACACGAGTACTTTTATTCATAAAATTTTCCAAGTAACCTTAATTTGTTGAAAAATATTGAAAAATATCTGTCATTTCAAAGTTTTGGGGTGTGGACCATCGGGGGTAGTCCGTTCCTGACTTTGTAGCAAAACAACTGACTCCTGCATGAAAGCTCATCGAAGGAATTCATTTGTTTAGTCAATTACCAAAATTTGGATGATTTTGAATATTCACTTGAAAAGTTATCAAAGAAAAACATTTTTCATTTTGTAACTTCGAGGGCCCGTTAATTGGTAACGAAGGATTTTAGGAAAAAAAGTTATATGAAGTACTGGTGATATTTTGACCCCATCTATACATTCCCGAGAGGAAAAGAGGAAGTCCAGGGACACCCTGTATATTTCTTTTGAACAGCAATTCGCAAAGCGCAGATATGTTAAGGATCATAACATGCTGAAGGACGCTGCCATAAAAAAAAAATCTCGCCAGGAGTAGTAGTTACCAAAAACGATTGCCCAACTGAATTATGTATGGATCATTACAAACTGTCAAAGTTCACTCAGAAAATAAGAGACAATGTAAAGGGCCTCTTTGCTCCACTTGGAGGGCGGAATTATGATGGGAATATTCAGTGACATTGACACTATGACGTTATCGTCGAATTCTAAGTAACTTCCAAAAAGTGCAATTCATTTCAAAAAGAGGGACCTTCTCAGGTCACGTTATTCCAGTCAGAGATATGAAAGGTGACCCTGCAAAAATTTAAACTATCAAGACTCAGAAAAAAAAAGTTCAGTTCTCATGATCTGGCATCTAATATCGAAGGATTTCGAAAAATTTGCTATAAAAAGCTAAAGCTGAAATCAACTGAAAAAGATTTTAACGACAAATGCCCAAGAAAGAAACCAGGTCTGTTCATCCTAATGACAAAGAAAACTATATAGTCTAGTAGGGGAAAATCCTGGATGAAGTTTATCTTATTTATAACTTCATCTAGTATTGCAACATCATAACTCATTATCCATCGGAGCAGAGGAAAAAAATATTTTCAAATGACACTGAAGAGTTCTTGGATGCCTACCTCAAATGTCAGTTTGAATTCCAAAGAACTCTGTGCGATATCGACGTATTAGAATGAAGTCATCGGAACGATAAGTGGAACCTGTCACGCACTTGGGGGTCTAGTTCAAATTCGCGATCGTTTCTATAAGGCCAATAGTTGTGGGAATGTTGGTTAAAAAATGAGCTCGTTTGCTCTTCGGCCCAAAATCAGAAATCCATTAAGGGTAGCCTAATATCTTTGCGGGGATCATTCGAAATTACATTATTACGGTGGCCATGGAATAATTATGATTGCCTGGACTTGTCCTAACACCTAACCATAAATCTAGATAGTACAAAAAGCCACCGATAGTTTTTATCAGTTCGATATGTCAAATACGGTTGTACTGACTATAAAAAAGTGCCGATAATGTTTATGAATCGAAACGAGATCATCGCAAAATAACTGAGAGAAAGTTCTCTGTGGCGGTCGATGGATATCTTTCGAATACTTTCACCATCAATGCTGGTGTTCCCCAGGGATCCATATTGTCTCCAACCCTCTTTTTATTGTATAGCAACGACTTATTGGAAAAAAACAAGAATCCAATTTATTGCTTTGCTGACGTTCGTACACTTGACTCATCACTGCATTTGGATTCCTGGATATCGGCTACGGAGGCATATCTTCACCGGCAACAGGAGGTTGCATATCTTAATGAGGATCTAGAAGTGATTTCGAAATGGGGTGAAAGTAATCAGGTTCAATTAATTGCCGCAAAAACCCAGGCATCGGTTTTCTCCAAGATAAATGCCTCCGAACTGGATAATAATAATGTCAGGTCAGACAATTCCGCTTTCTGCTTCAATAAGTTTGTTGGGGATTAAAATGGATATCAATATGTCTTGGCACAACCATGTCGCACAAGCTTGGAACACTGTTCCAAACCAGAAAACTGTACACACCTCAGCGATTTTTGATGCTTTATAAAGCTCATATTAGACCTTCTTTAGAGAATTGTTCTCATATGTATGGAGCTCTGCCGTCAAACATATCCTGTAGTTGTTGGATTCCATCCAGGAAAGAGCCATCCGCCTGATTGGAGACGCGAACACCACGTGCAACCTTGATTGTCTGGAACATCAAAGAAAGGTTGGAGATTTGTCTCTCTTCTAAAGATACTTTCACGGCAAGTATTCAAGTGCCTTGGCACATTTGATTCCACCAAGAGCGGTACATATCAGAAATACGCGACGGACTCTGGCTGCTCATCGTTTTGAGGTTCAGCTCAGTACACCTGAAACTTTATTGTTTAAGAACTCTCTCATCTGGAGAACTGCGTGTATATGGAATAAACTTCCTGAGAACGTTTTTCCAAATGGATTTAATTTCCAGCGATTGAAATCCAATGTGAATCACTACTCTCGCACAGGCACCGCTCTGAGAGCGCCTTAAGGATATTCCTGCAGTGCTTGTATTTTGTCCATAAAAAAACTGTCTCGGAAAATGACAGACTCGATGACAGACAAAAAAAATCGTCTTTCAACTGTTTGTTTTCAATAAGCTGATAGCCATGGATTCTGAGGTAGATTTTCTATACTGAACTGAAAAAAGTCCTCCGGGTTAGATTCTTACAGCTTATCAAAAAGCAAATAATTATAAAACCTGTATCTATTTAAGTATGTACCATACAATTATTTCCAATGTCATAACATCGCGGTTGTCATAAAGCAAAGTATACATTGTAGCTCAAATTGCTTAGATAATGAATTCAAATTCAAATGCACATTTTTCGGTCGCTTCAGCGACATAACATAGCAGAAACGTGAAAGTGATTCTTTCGGTCCATAAATAAAACTAAACACATTTCTCTCCTTTTGAATGATTCATTCAACATGGACAAGTCGTCTACCGCATGTTACTCATCACTCTTACTGGGGCGCCAAGTTTACTGAACAATTGAAAAATTAAACAACGAAGAGATTTCATATTAGATCAACTTCTGATTATAACATTCATTATTTATAGCGAGACTGTTTTGAACAGAAACGAGAATTTCATTCTCTATGAAAAACGTTTATGGAAGATATTTAGCAAAGATGTACACTTGGGGCGATAAAACTTTACACATGTCAGCAATTTATGTATTTAAAGTTTATAATCACGGTATAATATCATTTACTGTGAAATATAAATTGCATTAATTGTGGAAACAACTATTTGCGTGGTATAAGAGAACTGAACTCCTAAAAACTTTTCATTATACATGTCAGGTGGTCCCATAATAGCAAAAAAATGATAATTTGACAGGACAGACATTTTAACATGGTCTAACTGATTCTAAGGTGCCGTTGATTCACGATTTAGAAAACTACGATCTAGATTATTTACCTTATTCTTTCTGGTTTGGAATTATTTTTCATTCAACTGGTGATCTGACCTTTTAGAGTACCACTGTACACATATATTTTAGACTTCTAATTGTACCATTGTACACATATGTTTTAGACAAAGAAGTCCAAATAGACTTCTTTGTTGTTTACAGCCAACTGGTGGTATATGAGCACTGAGCACTTACGTTAAGCGAGAAAATTCAGAAACACTTGAAATATTCTTTATCGGTTCAAAGACCACAAACCCGAGTTCAATATCCTCAATCCAATATCATCAGAATCACCATAAAGGGTGATTCTGATGATTTTGAGCAGTGTTTGAAATTGTTTCACCACAAAAAAACCCGAATTTATGCGTTGATATGTGACAGTGGATGAGACTTGCTTGGCCTCATCATTTCATACCAGAACCAAAACGATCGTCATCTGAGGCTGTCAATATTACACCGATTTTTTAAAAGCATTTGACACCGTGAACCATAAAGTTCTTTGTGAAATTAAAGGCAATTAGCTTTTTTGGGAGTTTGTTGGACTGGTTCTCAAGTTATCTTTGTGACAGATCACAGTTTGTGAAAATTTAAGGATTTATCTCTCACGAGATATCTGTTACCTCAGGAGTACATTCAGGGAGTCACTTGGGACTTTTTCTCTTCAATATCTGTGTAAATGATATCATGGAAAAAATTACTCACTGTGAAATACTGATGTTTGCAGACGATCTGAAAAATTTTAGAGCAATAGATTCGTTGCAGGATTGTGCAAAAATTCAAATGGACCTTAAATCTTTTTCTGATTGGTGTAAGATAAATTATATGGATGTCAATGTGGCAAAATGTAAAAGTATTTCCTTTTCAAAGTCATTAAACCTCTATACAGCTGGTTATAGTATTGCAGGGAAGAAGTTAGAACGTGTACAATCACGTTCTATACGAGATCTGGGTGTTATGATGGATGACAAGATGGACTTCAATTTACAGAATGAACACATAGGTATCTAACAAAGCTATGAAAATGGTAGGATTCATATGCAGATCAACTAAAGATTTTACCAACATTATTTCTATTAAAATAATATAATTTGCATTGCACTTGTATCTGGTCTCCAACTTACTTCAACCACAGTTATGAATAAAGTTCAGTTCAGAATAAAATTTTTACATATGTTGCCTACAAAATGAACATGCCAACTAGAAGTCATTCGCTCTTTGAAATTCGCTCTACTATTGGATTGCTCAAACTCTGTCCAAGACAGGCACATGCAGACATAATATTCCTACATAAATTGTTGATCAACGAAATTAATTGCCTAACGCTTCTCTGTCAAGTCAATCTGCATGTTCCCCCAAGAAGGACACGTAACAACAACAACAACTTTCACACTCGACTTTCATAGGTGTAATTATGGAAAAATTTCTCCTTTGTCCAGAATTCTATCGAATGTCAATGGGACCAATATAGATATACTCTACGTCGTATAGATTTATAAGACTATTTTTTTATCACAATTTTATTTTAATTTTCTCTATGTAGGTTGATTTATAAGATATATAGATACTAGAATAGTTAACTTTCTAAGGTTGATATATTATATGAAATTGGAGGTTACCCGTTGAATAAATAAATAAATAAAGTATTTTGGTAAAATATTCATCGACAATCTTGAAAAGCGAAAAATCATCAACAGCGAGTATCCCATGGCGTCACTGGAACGTTTGAAGGACGAAATCGCGAAAAACTGTCCCATTTGAAGAAGAAAGTGTTGTTTCATCAAAGCACCGTGTCACAAATCAATGAAAACAATGACAAAATTGTATGAATTGGGCTTCGAATTGCTTCCGCAACCACCGTATTCTCCAGATCTGACCTCCGGCGACTTTTTCCTATCATCAGACCTCGCTGAAAAGAAATTCAGCACCGATGAAGAAGCAATCGTCGAAACTGAGGCCTACTTCAAAGCTAAAGACAAATCGTGCTATAAAAATTGGCGGGTTGGCTGTCCTTGTTCATCTTTCACTGCCTGAACTACTGTGCATGCTGTTTTTGGCGAGTGCATTGGCCTGGGATGTGGGGGTTGAGCAAACCGGCCATCGGATGCCTGCTTCCACGTAGCCCCACTGGATACGGGAATGACAGAATCACTTGTGGTTCTGTTATTCCCTAACTGAATGGCTTAATCGTAAGGTGTGTGTATCCGTGCCAAGATGATGAATGACACTGACCTTCTTTTTCTAGCTACTCGTGGGACTTTTATGGACAGAATAAACTCAAAAATTCTTTCTAACGCTGAGTCTATAGAGGAGATTGGATGTCGAGCTTACGACTCCAACTGACCTCCCTGTAAATTTAGAGCAGGAGCGAGTCTACAGAGGAGATGGATGTCGAGTTTACGACTCCAACTGACCTCCCTGTAAATTTAGTTCAGGAGCGAGTCTACAGAGGAGATGGATGTCGAGTTTACGACTCCAACTGACCTCCCTGTAAATTTAGTTCAGGAGCGAGAGCTTCTCAACTCCCCAATTCCTGATCCAATAACTGAACCTAAAAAAAGGTTTGATGGTTCAGCCAGGAAACGACTGAGTCGTCTCCTGAAGAGAGGGGTACCTTATAAAACCGCTTTGCACCAAATTCTTGAGCGGCGTATGCAGTCGGGTCGCAGGGGTTTGTTTCTCCACCTGTCCCAAGTGGGGAAACAAACACCTGTCCCAGGTGGGGAAACAAACCCCCCATGAGCAGGTTAGCAAACGTTTACGCTCAAGGGATGATTCACCAAAACCAGAGGCGAAAAAGCCCTGCACGGTTGTATCTAAGGCATCGTCAGTTGTAGCTAACGTGCAAAAACCCTCATATTCAAACTGATCGGCTTCGTTGGGTTTATTTGGTCGAGTGTGAATAGATGTGAGCCACAATAAACCTTTGCGGGTTGCGGTGGAGAGTCGAACAGATCCTCTCACTTTGGACCTAACCTAACCTAACTATAAAAATTGTATGGCCGCTATAATCGTTGTATCTCTCTCGAAAGCAACTATACTGAACAATAAAATAAAATTTTATGAAAAAATAGTTTTTCCATGTTAGCCAACGAACTTTTTAGCCCAGTTGTTGAGCTACTCACAGCTTACCTTTTTAATCGGTGAACACAGCTGCTGTTCGTATTCGGCATCATCGGAGCAATCGATCAGATTTAGGGGATCGTGAATGTTTTTGGGGATTATTACTTCGATCTGTCCTTTCTTCCTCGGAGGGGTCGGGACAGGAGAAGATTTCGGAGTAACTGCGTTCATAGCCCTGAAACAAAAATATAGCAACACTGGACGTATGTATACACCTCAGATTTTCGAATAACTATAAATTACACTAAATGAAAGTTGATTACGACTGAAAAACGGAACGATACCTGAAAAAGAGTAACGAATATTCAATCATTCATAACTTTCTTCTTGTTTTTGGTAAAATTTTTTTGGGTTTGCAACACAGACAACTGTGGTTATTAGCCTCGTGTTCTTGGTATTGGTATCTAACCTTTTATGTGTGTTTGATATTTATTTCGTCATAAAGTCAAATTTTTACTCATCAGAGAAAAACAGTGGAAGTAACACAAATGTACACTAATTTTAAACCCTTGAAAAATGTTCTAATACCCAAAGAATCCTTTCTAAACAATAAAGCTATTTTTAGTTATTTAATTTGCATGTGGGTAATGTAATACCAAGAAACAAATGAAAACATTCAAGAAAAATCAAAGAATAAATGCAAAAAAATTAAATAGTACTACATAAATGTTTTTCCTTATCCTTATCCCAGTTATTGTCGAACTTCGTTAAACCTGGTCCTCCGCCAAAAATTATGAAAAGGTTTTTGTACGATAAATTTGAAATTTCTTCTGAATGATCATTAATTATTATATTTCGAAATCACTCAACACCAATGAGATGAAAGCATTTATGAGTACAGTGTGTCCGCAAAGTATGGAATAAATTCAATAGTTCCAAAACCAAAGGCCGTTTTACAAAAACCTCAAACACGTCGATTTTTAATTTTAATATTATTCATTTTACAACATAATTTCATTATACAGGGTGATCCATATTAATGTGGTAACGTCATCGGTAATTTTTTAATGCAACACCCTGTATTTGGTATCAGTTTTAGATAATCCGTAACGAGCTGATTCCGAAAAGGTATGATACTTGGGGTCTAACGGACAGAATTTGAAAGATGTGCGTTTAGAAAATAAATTTTATTGATATATAATAAAAGTAGAAATTAATTAATTATTTTATATTTTTTTCTAATGATTAATTTAGCAATGGGAAAGTAATCCAGTAATAAATACGTGACTTTATTTTAAATGTTCGAACTGTAGTTCTTGCTGTATTTGACAGTAACCTAAACGTTGAATAAATTCTTGTTGAACCTTGTTTATGGTTTCTTGAGAAATATTCTTTATTTCTGTTCGAATTATCTCTTTTAATTCTTGAATATCTGCTGGTTTCGTTTTATAAACAACATTCTTCAGATGGCCCCACATAAAGTAATCCAACGTATTTAAGTCTGGCATCCTCGCTGGCCATTCAATATGTCCACGTCTACTAATCCATCGGTTCGTAAACATTTGGTCGAGATACCTTCGAACATCTGCAGCATAATGTGGAGGCGCATCGTCCTGTTGGAACCATAAACTTTCATCAAAACTTCCAGGATTAATTCTACTGAGGAATAAATTAATCAAAGTAGGTACAAGATATCCTTTTAAAAACTGAAGGTATGTGAGCCCGTCTAAAATACCGTCGAAAAAGGGTCCGATGATCCTGTTTCTCACAATGCCAGCCATACATTTATTTACCTTTTGCGGGTATTGTGTATGATGCTCATACCACTGGGGGCCAAGTACCTATAATTCTGACGGTTGACCCCATGTAAAAAAGGCTTCATCAGAAAAAATTATATTTTTCACGAGGAGACGGTCTCGGTGACAGTTATCCATCATTGCTTCACAAAATTCTATTCTTCTACCTGGATCATCCTCGTTTAATTCCTGTAGTAGTTCGATTTTAAAGGAATGCCATTTTTCCAATTTTAATACGTTGTGTACAGTTGTTTTACTGACATCGAAATTACGACTAACCTTACGAACAGAAGTGTGCACATTTTCTTCAAAAGCAAGTAGAACATCTAGTTTTGTATCATCATTTACAGAAGGACGAACTGATTTGCGTGCATTTTCAACTGTACCAGTTTCTCGAAATTTCTTTTCAATCTTACTTACTGCTGACTGCGTTATGCATCTTTCTGGAGATTTTTCATTAAATAAGTTACAGACTTCCATCTGAGTTCGCGATCTGTCTCCATAACCAATCATAAGTATTTCAATTCTTTGCTTCACACTTAAATTCATTACAACTTCAAATTCATTCGAAACAATACTACAGAAAATTCACGAATTAATACAACAACAACTGTCCTATTTAACAGTTACTGAACGTCAATCGAAATAATGACATTTCACAATAACAAAAAAAGCTAGCCGATTAGTTTTTTGAAATTAATAAGAAATACTTGCTAGCACGGTTACTGTCAACTACAACAAGGACTACAGTTCGAACATTTTAAATAAAGTCATGTATTTATTACTGGATTACTTTCCCATTGTTAAATTAATCATTAGAAAAAAATATAAAATAATGAATTAATTTCTACTTTTAATAGATATCAATAAAATTTATTTTCTAAGCGCACATCTTTCAAATTCTGTCCGTTAGATCCCAAGTATCATACCTTTTCGGAATCAGCTCGTTACGGATTATCTAAAACTGACCCCAAATACAGGGTGTTGAATTTTGAAAAATTACCGATGACGTTATCACATTAATATGGATGTAGAATATCAAAATTAAAAATCGACGTGTTTCAGGTTTTTGTAAAACGACCTTTGGTTTTGGAAATATCGAATTTTCTCCATACTGTGCGGACACACTGTATATATTAGTAACTAAATATGAACGCAATTGCTCAAGTTTTCTCAGTAAAAAAACCAAATATACAATTAACTTTGAAATGAATTATTTCCACGTATTGACAAAATCTCAAGTGAGATTATTCATTATCCAATTATAATACCTAGTTGCTATTTGTCAAAATTTACAACAACTATTGGAGACCTATGTTTTCCGTTGATCCCATTATTTATGAAAGAAATTATCATGTCCAGTTTTCATTATTTTTTTTATCAGAAAACAAGAAAAATGAGAAATAAAACTTTCTATTTTTTTTACCACTTTTATTTGTAACTAACGTTACTGCAGTTTCGTCCTTTAAGGGCATTTTCAAACTTATACATTGAACTAAAAATGATTGATTACATTCAGCCCTTATATAACAACAATGTAGGTAATAACAGAGGTACTTGACTCAATTAAGAACCTGAATTTTGTTTACCTGTGACAATGTGGATACGCTAATTTGAAAACCGGTGAGTAAACTAAATCGATTTGATCATTCAACAGGTTGCACCCGCAATGCTCATGCTTATTATTTTCCAAGGATTTCAAATAATTGAGTTTGCAACCCTTCCTTTCATAGCGCAAAATTTCCGTATCGTTTAGATTCGGGAATTTGTGGTTACATGCCAAGGATTGGTTTAAAAACGTCGAATTATTTTTACCTAGTCTGAAGGACCTTTCATGTTCAGCATACCGTTTGTTTTTGAATTACCTGCAAATTATTATTTATTCCGGGTCGAAGAACCATATGTTTTTGAATTACCTGCAAATTATTATTTATTCCGGGTCGAAGAACGAAATTTTATATTCTTTTAGAAAAGTCAGACGTCTTTCAAAAACTTTACTTTTTTTTTTTTTTCAACAACTCATATTTTCACATCAACCTTGATCACTACTAACAAATGTCAACTAAAAACGATATACAGGGTGTAATCACATAACAATCATAAATCTATAACACCGTTTTTGGAAATTTCGACAACGTTGTCCCACATAAACACTATTATCTACACTCCGGACACTCAAGCTTATAAACTCCAGATTTCTCCAGCTTGTCAACTTTATCTTTGGCATTGAAAAGAAAATCAGATAACCTGTCATGTGATCTGAATACCACTTCCACATTGTTTTTCTGAAGAAACCCGCAATGGGGAATGCTACTCAATTTGGGTTATTACAGCAAATGCAAGTTTGAACAAAATAGAGTTGACCTCGATTCATGAGTTTTTCAAATTCACTTCGAAAAGTATTCAAATTGATGTTTCAAATGTTGGGTTTTCATTTTTAAAGGGATTTGTTTCTAATGTACATATTGGCAACAGCGCCTAGAATTTATACGTACCTAGATATTCTACTTTTAAAAAGGAAAATTATCTTCATAAATCAACAATTAAGGCAAAATAAAAATTATAGTTCAATACCACCTCCACAAGCCACATAAACAGTTGTTTTGTTATTTGTTTATATAGAGGAAGATAGGTTAGGTGCACAAAATGTCATATGTCACAGAATGTCTCGGAACTCGGAACATAAGTAAACAGAACAGCACGCCTCTGAAATATGTCATCTTTGTTTGTCTCATACAGGTAACAGATTCATTGTCCTTTATTAGCTATAACCGATGTTGCCAAATGGTGAAATAGAAACGAATCCCTTTAAATGTTGAATGCATTATTTCATTCCTCTTTTTTAAGTATTCAAATAATTTTTTAAAGAAAAAGGTTGAAATGACAAGTATAAAATGCGTTGTTTTAGAGCTCTTTTATGAAAACTACTTGATTTTTGTCAGGAGGAACATTCCCCATTATCTCTGTTCTTTTTCCAAAATATGTTTGCGTTACCCATTTCTTGATTTCTAATTGTTTGATCTGGGGGTATATAAATCTCTAAGTGAATTTACGGCTTTGTTTTTTGACAGATTTCTGGATTGTGTCTGCGTTGAAACCATTATTATGGCCTATCTGTATAATTATTTTAATTTCCCTAGCTAGATTGTTAGCAGACAAAGGCAATGAGAATGCTCTGTGCAATATTGAATTGTAGGCTGCTAATTTATGACTGTCTGGATGGATTCAGAAAACCTAGCTATAGAGACATTTCCATCCCAAGTGTTTCTTTCCACAGAAAGTTCCATTTCTCATTTTTCATGATGATTTCCTATCACGTAGTAACGGCTACATCCATCAATTTATTAAAACAAGAAGAAATAAAAGATATAAAATAAAATCTACAAAAAATCAGTAAAAAAAAACGATGGCGTCTATCAGAAACTTACCTGTTTATCTCTTCGTCCTGGAGACTGTTCAAGTTGAGAGGATCTTTGATATTCCCGCCGAGCAAAAACTTGGAAGGCAGGACCGGCTTCTGACTTATCGGGAGGCCGCATCCCGAAAAACTTTTCGATCTCTTTCTGCTGCCTCTGTCGTACTTGTTTTTGCGCTTTGAGTTGTTGTTGTTGGTCGGCTTCATAGGGTGTTTCTGGTTGTTGTTGGGGCCGGTTTTTATTGGCGGCGGGTCCAACACTTGCACGGAAGACATGGTTGATGTCTAGAAAATGAAATCGTTAGGTAATTTATCTTGCTTCTGTTCATTCAACGGTCTCTAAAATGGCATAAATGTTTGCTAAATAAGTACATATGGCCAGCTACTGATGTATGCTGTCTACTCGACAAGATATTCGTTGATTCTGCTGGTTTCACCGTTTAGCTATCAAAATCAAACCAAAATCCTTCATTATCAGACAATTTTGAAATTGCAAAAATTTTAGTGTCATTCAAGTTTCCTTCATTACTCCACTGAACAAATTTTTGCTTCTCGTTGAATAGAATATTTATGTAACTACAGGCAGGCATTTCAGAAGTGAAAACAGTTTTATGGAAAATATTTCAATCCTGAAGAAACAATAATATACGGATCATTTCAGGCTCCTACTAACCCCTAACGCTGCATATAGACTTGTGCACAATGCCAATTGCACAAATCAATGTAATGCAGAGTGCAACAGACTGTTGCTTGACACTGGAAGTCACAGCATTCTGGAAAACCGCTGACTGTATGCCTCCAACTGTCAACTACAAACTGCCTTATAAAGTACTGTTCCCACAGAGGACTGGATCCTCCGGGAGAAGGAAATATTAAGAACAGATAGTTGTTGGTTCACAGATGGATCAAAAACATCTTCCGGTTCTGGTGCAGGTGTTTTCAGTCGCAGACCCAGGTCAGACATATCAACCTGCCTGGAAACCTATGCGACTGTATTTCAAGTGAGAATTTACGCTATTGAATTGTGTGCGGAGAAATTGGAAGAATACAAACTCAAATTATTTTTGGACAGTCAAGCGGCATTGGAAGCTCTTGGCTCCTACCGAGCAACGTCTAAACTGGTGACAAATTGCAAAAAACGACTCTCCCTCCTCGATAGGAACACTTAACAGATTGTCTCTAGTCTGGATTGCGGGCCATACTGGCCTGGAAGGCAATGAGGCTGCTAACTCCCTTGCAAAGGAGGGTGCTGTAAACAGTTTCATCGGACCAGAACCTGTCATTCGAAGCTTGATACCAAACAGTTGTTGGACTACAGAAGAGATGAACTACTATGTCTAACAGGCCTTCTCACTGTCATTTGAATCATCATATGTAGAGACTCGGACTGTCGGAAGACAGTATGTATCGCCTATGTTTGGAAAATAATGAAACAGCAGAGAACATACTTTGTGCCTGCCCCGCTAGGGACCTTATCAGGTCATTAGAGTTCGGCAGAGCCTTACTCGTACCATCTAACCTGATGGTAATCAGGCTTCGTTAAGCTGGGTTTATTTGGTCGAGTGTGAGTCACAATAAACCCTTGCGGGTTGCGGTGGATAGTCGAATAGATCCACTTATTTTGAACCTAACCTCTGACGCTGATTTTCCAGGTGTTGCGTTTTGAAAACGTTTCTGAAATTTTGAATTTTCAATAATTTTAGGCTTATTTCAGACTTCTTCATACTCTATATTGGCCCAACAGCGAGCAAATTTCTTCAAAGAATGAAAGAGCATAGAAGTAGTTTCTTGAATGGAAAGACCAATTCCACATCTTCAAAACATCTTTTGGCAGAATGACATAAGTTCAATCACGACTATGACGTGTTACATCAGAAAACGAAAAGTTAGAAACTCAATCTTTCAGAATGTTTAGAAATGAATAGATTTGAGAATTCGGAATTAAATAACTACCCGTTACTGAATATTTTTTCGAATGTGAAAACTGGTAAATAACTGATACATAAATTTCATTCATTACATGTTTATTCAAAAATTTATTTTCTCATGTCAATGTTTATTGATTCATTCTTGAACTCAGGTACACATTTTTAACATTAATTGGGTAGGAGAAATATTCAGGGACTTCAAACTGTAAAAAAATATATATAAGGCTTTGGATATAAAGATTTTAGTAAGTTTAGACACGCCTAAGGAAGTTATTGTATAGCGAAACAAGTGTTGCGGTTGTGTAAACTGTGTATTGAAAATCTCAGAGAGTGTTTATTCAATGAGATTCCTTCATTATCCTACTGAACAAATTACAGCAATCCATATTTGGGTGACTACCTCTCACACACACGGCAGAAGCGAAAATATGATTTGGAAACATTTTTCAAATGTGAGAGAGATAAAATATATTAGAAATGTTGGGCTTCCACTTTCTCTCTTGCCGGTTTTTCATATACTGCTATTCGAAATCAGTAAGTTCTATAAGCTTTATAGGTAAGATGACAGAACAATTAAATAAAACTCTGCACTTTTTGGAAATATTGCATTTGCAACAATTTTGGTCCCATTTTAGATCCCGAACTGAAAAATGGTCTGCTTCTCTTTTAGGTTGAATATTTAGATGACTAACAGCTCAGTGTGGAAGAGACAAAATATATTGGGCTTCTGCTTTTTCGTTAAGCTAGCTGTAAATTTTAGACTCACTTTAAGCTCTTCGTTTGAATTTAATATTTAGGTGATTGTCTCAAACTCACTTAATCAGTAAGTTCAGCTAGCTTTATCGTTAAGCTGACTGTAAATTCCAGACTCACTTTAGGCTCCTCTTTTGAATTTAGGTGATTGTCTCAAACTCACTTAATCAATTGGTTCAATTAGCTTTATCGTTAAGCTAGCTGTAAATTTTAGACTCACTTTACGCTCTTCGTTTGAATTTAATATTTAGGTGATTGTCTCACTCGCTTAATCAGTAGGTTCAGCTGGCTTTATCGTTAAGCTAGCTGTAAATTTTAGACTCATTTTAGGCTCCTCGTTTGAATTTAGGTGATTGTCTCAAACTCACTTAATCAATTGGTTCAATTAGCTTTATCGTTAAGCTAGCTGTAAATTTTAGACTCACTTCAAGCTCTTCGTTTGAATTTAATATTTAGGTGATTGTCTCAAACTCACTTAATCAGTAGGTTCAGCTAGCTTTATCGTTAAGCTAACTGTAAATTCTAGACTCACTTTAGGCTCCTCTTTTGAATTTAGGTGATTGTCTCAAACTCACTTAATCAATTGGTTCAATTAGCTTTATCGTTAAGCTAGCTGTAAATTTTAGACTCACTTTAAGCTCTTCGTTTGAATTTAATATTTAGGTGATTGTCTCAAACTCACTTAATCAGTAGGTTCAGCTAGCTTTATCGTTAAGCTAGCTGTATATTTTAGATTCACTTTAGGCTCCTCGTTTGAATTTAATATTTAGGTGATTGTCTCTCTCACAAGGTAAAAGTGAAACTAATTTTCTGAGGTCATACCTGTCTGAGGTAATCGCACTCAAAATATTGAATTCAAACAAGGAGCAAACAAAATACAATGTAATGGGTAATGAGAGAGTCTAAAATGAGCCTAAAATTAATGCAAGTTCAAATTCACAATAAATGAAGAATTTAGATTTAGTTCGACCAGCTCAACGGTAAAGTTATCAAAACCCACCGATTTTTTTTAACAAAACAACACTTAGAAAATTGTAGATAGGGAGGAAAAACTATGTTTTTCTGTGGTTGAATTCTGCTAGCTTAACGTTACGATATATCCGTTAGAAGAGCGAACATTTCGAGAACAGAGTATAAATTTCGCCTTAAATTATGGCCTGAAAATAACGTAAAAATTGAAAAGTGGTCTTGCTAACTCAACAAAGGTGAGTTTACGACAAATTGAGAATCGAACCTACAGCAATCCATATATCCATCATCTCGAGTATAATTACATTTCACGTTCGACAAAATACCGTTATTTGATAAATCGATCTGTGTTCGACGGAAAACGGAAAATGAAGAAGAAAAAACGAATAACGACCGTCAAATTGGCTCGATTTTATGTGAAACGTCGATAGATGAACCAATAAAGATGTCGACAAATCCTGGGAGAGTTCGCAGATAACTATGTGTGTCATGTGATCGACTTGTTTCGAATCGCATGTTACACAAAGATAATTTGATTGACAGATACGTCTATTCTCATTTGCCGGCTCGGAATGTGAATTGGGAAGTAATTCCATGGATGGAATAGAAAAGTAATATGTCGAAGTGACTTACAGAATATTAATAACGTGTGCTATCAGGTATAATGATATCTTTAGGAGCACATTACTGGCACATATAGAGGTTTTCCGTTTATAGTCGAAGTAAACGATATTGTGCACATTTAAAGTTGGCGACACTCTCAGAGGGCAAAAAAAACAATACATGGAAATGAACCGGTTGCGAACTAGTCCACGTGGACTGTAGAATTGGCGGTTCGTATTGAATAAGTTTTACTAACAGAGTTTTATGATTGGCTGAAGAGTCATAAAATTCATGTTACGGTGACGAATAGAAATCGGGGAATGCGAGGATGGTTATCGCCGTCGTGTTCGGTTCAGGAACTGATCGCGATTTGACTGTTGAAATTCGATAATGGTGTAGTTATAATCACTTAAAATGTTTATTATCTGTTCAAAATGTGGCGTCCTTGGACAAATACTAATATTATTGACGAGTGTGCTAACAACGCAGACTTTTTCCGGTGTAGTGATTCCAATACCGATGATGAACAATGCGAAAAAGGGAAACCAGTGAATAAGATTCGAATGCATTTAATATTGCGGCCATAACGTGAGCTGCTGTGACAAAACTGTTCAGAATTGGATAAAGAAACTAGGATTTATATTTGAAATAATAAACAAACGTCAAGCAGTTATGGAAAGCAGAAGAATAGTGGAATCGCGTAACAAATACTTGAAACAAATAACTAAATGTAGACAAGAACAACGGCAAATTTTCTATTCGGACGAAATTTGGTATGACACTCACAACATAGTTCCGAAAGGGTGGACTGATGGTTCGAAAATGTGTACGCCTAACGTGCCTGCAAACAAAGGATCACGATTAATCTTTGTGCATTGCGGAGGAAGTGAAGGATGGGTTCCGAATTCTTTGAAATTATGTGGAAAAAACTTGAGGACTGCAATGTTGACATCTCAAGAACATGAGAGCTAACATTTTCGAGGAATGGTTTGAAAACACATTGAACCCAAATTTGGATGCGAATAGTGTAAT